TTTTTGGTAACTTGACCATCTCATCTTTTATTTTCCTGATTTCATCCAGGGCTGATATCTGTTCTAGCGATGGTCTTCTATGTGATTGGGTTGACTTTTGGTTAGTCAAAGTGGCTGTCACTGCAACTGCTGCCTTCCTTTCTGCTGTAGCCATATCTATTATTTTATCTGGCTCTGTCCCTTTAATTAATCAGCCACTTCAATTTGATGCTGTATCCTCTTACTTTTTCTTTCCTGCTTTCTTCTTTCCTTTGTCTTTGCACTTAACTTTTCCTCTGTATCCTCACTCTTTTTTTTATTATTTTGATTATTTCTAGTCCTCCACCCCTTTTTTTTTAAAGAGGCTTTTCAGCGGATTTACAAAACACCATATAGTTTTGGCTACTATTACAACATAACAAAGTAACAAAGAAACAACTGTTATTATTATAACAACAATTTTCTCCTGCTGCAGCCCTTTTGTTGCAAGAGGAACCAAAATGATACAGTTCTTTTTGAAGTTTCAAAACAAAGGAAAACACTTTAAGAAAGTTGGTTCAGCCACTTGTGCTATTCAGCACTATCTTTGGGCCTTGGCTCTATCTTCATGTCTTACTCCTTTTCCTTCTCCCTTCACCTCTAAAAGAGCCATGGCTTTGAGACCCTCCCAGGGTCAGATGCTATAGTATAGTCCCTGGATTTCCCCATTCTGGGGGGAAATTAGTTGCCATGTCAGAATGGAGGTAAGTTCCCAATACCTCTGAGTGACCCGTGATGCTCAGGAACCACTCCCTTGCACTGGCGACAATAAAAAGCCCCAAAACAGATGAGGTTTTGTGGGGGCTCGCACAAAATGTTCCTTCACAGAACTGCAGCCAACTGGAAGTCAGCATGGTGTTTTTCTGGTGTATTGTGCTATTCAAGGGAGTAAAAGAATATTTTAAAATATTTTTTAAAAAGTTAAAAATGTGTATTTCAAGTCTTGGGAAACCCTGGTAAGAATTCTGGACTGATGAGAAATTTCAAAATGTAGGACTTATTTTGTGAAGTTTGAACATGGGATTTTTGTACCAGATACTATTTTTTAGTACATCTGGTTTTACATTCCAATAATACACTGTTTTCAGAGCTAAGTCAATTCCTATTTGTTTGCCCTGATATTTTAAATTATCTGGGGCAGATTGACTGTTGCATCTGCTGCCCTTGATTATTGTATTTTAATGATCATTCTTTTATTTGTATTAATGTGGTATTGATTTTGATTATATTTTTTGCTTACTGCACTGGTATTTGTATAATCTGCAGGTTTTACAGGATCATAAAACCTTTTATTAATAACAGATAAATTTAGGAAATAAAAAAATAATACAGATAGGTCAAAAAGGCAATGTGATAAAAAGGCCTGTGTCGAAATTGCTACACAAGGTCAGTAACAGCAGTGATACAGTAAAGCTATAATAAGGAGGAGTTGCTTGCACTTGGGATCTAGCACAATTATATTTGATCATTTTGGCTTAATTTTTAACAGGACATCTATCTTCAGTGCCAAGGCTCACATATGCTTTAGCATTAGCATTAGCATTAGCATTAGCATTTACATTTCTATACCATTTAATAGTGAACTCGCTAACCACTCTCTAAGTGGTTTGCAATCTGTAAGCCAATTGCTTCAACAAGCTGGGTACTCATTTTACCAACCTATGAAAGGATGGAAGGCTGAATCAAACTTGAAACCCTAGGATTGAACTCACAACTTTGTGGCTGCAACCAGCATTTAATCACTATACCACCAGGGCTCCTTATATATGAAACATATTAAGAATAGTGGAGAGTCTTTTGGAACCTTAGAGATTAACAAGTTTTTTTAGCATGTGTTTTCACTGACTGCAGCCCACATTATGAGATTTATAATAAGGCTATCCTCTGAAAGCATTAAAAACAAACAATGGTACCCTAGTAAAAATACAGAATATCACCTCCCACTTTCTATAAAATCTGCATACATTAGAGATAACTTGTGAAAGATCCCCCAGAACAAAGTGGAAGATCACATTTGAGGGGGCACTGGACATTTTGACCACTAAGTGACAGAAAAGAGTAAAAAGAAAAGAAAAAAGAACAATATAGCCTTGAAACCCATGGGTGACCTTGGGGAGACATATAAGCTTATTGCACGGCACTTACAAGAACAGGAATGGAACAGAATGGAAGAGAATGGAATGGGGCAAAAACACATTTTACTGGATGGGGGAATGCCACCGATGCTGTCGAGAGTCCCCCAGGTGTTCCCCAGCCATTCCTGGCAGCCGATTTTGAAGAATGATTTTGAACTGTCATTCAAAAATCAGCTGCCAGTAATGGCTGGGGAATGCCTTGGGGACTCCTGGAAGCATCGGTGGCATTCTCCCATCCAGTAAAATGCATTTTTGCCCTGTTTCATTCCCTTCCCTTCCGTTCTGGTTCCTTAAGTGCCATGCGATAAGCTTAATATTCACTCAGCTTCATGGGAAGAAAATGGCAAATCTCCTCTGAACAAACCTTGCCATGAAAACCCATGATAGGTTCACCTTTGGATCACCATAAGTTGGAAAGGACTTGAAGGAATACAACAACAACAACAACAACGTGTGAAGACCCTGACTGAAAGCCTATGTATGTTAGCATTCTTTTTAGAAGTGGCCAATTTGTTGCACATGAGAAGACAGCACCCAATAAAATCAGCAGCAAATTAACAAATGTTTAAAAAGACAGTTAAATCAATCAAATCAGCTAATAGTTAGGGATGGTAAATCTCTATTTCTCCAAGTCCCAACAGATGTCAAGAACAATGAAGCAAATTTGTTTTTTGGTTTTTTTTCTGTAGCTTTGAGACACTAAGACATTTCCGTCCCCTCTGCAATGAAAAAATGAAAAACTGCACAGCTTTTCTACAAAAGCTGCATAGGAAGCTGCACAGATCCTCCTTCAGGGCACAACCTGTTTTGTACAAGATTGCTGTTTTTACATAGTAAAGAGCAATATTGCACAATAAAAATGTCGCACAAAGCCAAAATGTTGCACAAAAAACTACATGACTATTAGTTCTGCAACACTGCTGATTATTATGTAGAAAACATCAGTGATTTCTATATAGAAAACAGCAATATTGTTCCACAAAACTGATTGTTGAGCAGCATTACTGTTTTCTATGCAAAAAGCAGCAATGTAGCATTACAAAATTGTTGAACAAAAATGTGAAAAATCAGCAATGTTGCACAACAAATAGTCTCATGGTTTTGTTGTGCAACATTGCTTATTTTGAACAATATTTTTGTTGTGAAATATGGCTTTTTTAAAAATACAAAGTAGCAATTTTGCACAACAAAATGTGCAAAATCAGCAGTGTTCTACAACAAAACCATGTGAGGTTGCAGCTTGACTCATCCAGAGTTTCTTTTCTTGCTGCACAACATTTGAGTTTCAAACTTTCAAACTGGTAAAGGCTACAGCCACAAATTGAACACTTCGTCATGTTGCTTGTACAGGGGTATACTCTTAGCTTTGGATTTTCTGCACTTTTCCCAAGGATATAGTGGGGGAAAAAATATAAACAAGTGAGGTTTTTCCTCTGGGAAGCCACGCAGTTTTCTTTGTGTAGTAAAAAAAAGACTGTAAGTGTAGATTAAAAAGCTGCACCATTTCTTAAACTCTTGTACAGTTCTCTAAAACTGAGCAGTTTATGATTGCCAGGAACAACAACAAAAAGCTTTCCTCAATTTGCAGACACTTTGGATGTGCCATTTTCTTGTGGTATGAGGAACTCCAAATTCAATGCCAGTCAGGAAATTGATACATTTCTGTTCCATCCCTAGCATGAGTTAACCAAACTTTTGCCCAAACCAGCAAGCTTTCATTTACCAATGAAAAACATACAATAAAGCAGGGGTAGGCAACCTTTCCCCTTTAAGGGCCGAGGGACTTCAGCTCCCAGAATCCCAGGAGCTATTGGCCAACATGGGACTATTGACCATCATGGCTGAGGCTTCTGGAAACTGAAGTCCCTCGACCGTTAAAGGGGAAAGGTTGCCTACCCCTTCAATAAAGGGTCACTCTCCTGGGACAGAAAAAGACTTTGTTGTTACTTATTATATTACTTGTTGTTATAATGCATAGTTTGTTATAATATATATTACTTACTTGTTATAATATAGTAATATTTGTGGTGAGGACAAAGTTCTCCAGGATCATTGTTCAACATCAGTTCCATGCTCTCCTTCCTCCCACATCCTACAGTTTTTTAATGGTGAGCATCTTCATAGATCATTAACAATCAAATGATGTGAAAATCACATTATTGTGATATTTGCAGAATTTCTGGGAATCTTGGGTATAGCAACATTTTATATGGCAGGTTATACATAATCTTATTTGAAACTCAGTCGGACATTTCAAGAGTTAATTTTTTTTGCTTCTCCTGCTATTAAGCTATCTTCTATTTGCAGCTGCAGCCATTTCCTCCTGAGGTTGGTCTTGAATAATGCTGCTCTGAAATCCTGCCAATCATGGCTTCTCCAAAAAAGGCCCCCTCACAGACGGTATCACAGGAGCTTGTTCAGAGAGAGTTGAAGTGCATAGAAGGGCTATGAAGAGAGCAGGATGAACTGAGTAAATCAGTTCCTTTTTATTTCTTTTCCCTCAATATGCTTTCATATAACCAAAGCAAAGGAAAAACACACCAAATAAATTTGATGTCTCTATGACTATTAGCAATAGTTAGAGCTTGAAGAATCCATTATAGCAAGTTTCTGCTTCTGTGAGTCTAGAATGTGGCCCGAACTTTTATTGGATCAAGATAACATTTGGTGTGATTTTTCTGCTAGATGTTTTGTGCCCTTAAGTCATTTCTGACTCATGGAGACCCCAAGGCAAACGTATCACAGGTTTTGTTTTTTGTTGTTTTTTAGCAAGATTTGTTCAGAAGGGGGTTGCCCTTGCTTTCCCTTGAGAGTGTGACTTCCCCAAGGCCACCCAGTGGGTTTCCATGGCTAAGCAAGGAGTCAAACCCTGGTTTCCAGAGTGGTAGTCCAACACTGAAACCACTACACCACCCTGACTCTCTTGGTGTATTTCACTACATTTGAAAAGTTAAATTTAACCCATGGTGCAAATAAAGCAACATTACTTTCATTTAAATGCTGTTGATATTATCAAAAGTGGTGGTGCTAAGAAGAACTGCAACATTTTTCATTAATCTTAGATTCCCTGGCATAAAAAAGGGGACAAGTTACTCACCAAGCAGACAACTGACTGCTGCCCTTTGCCACCTCAGACTCCCTGTCTCCCAAATGGCGGTAGGTAGGGGAAGGCTCTGATGACCCTCAACACTGGTGTTGATTCAGAGGTAAGCCCTATTGCTGTGGCCTAAATACTTTGAACACACCAGATTCTGTCTGATCTTGAAACTGCGTAAGGGTCAGCCCTGGATGGGAAGCCACCAGGGGAATACTAGGTGCTGTAGGCTATATTCAAAAGAAAGCAATGGCAAACTACCTCTGAGATTTCTTGCCCAAGAATACCCCATGAAATTAAGAGGCTTCAATCATGTACCCACTGACAAGGCAGTAAGCATCATTGAAACAAGCCAACTGGCAACCCTGAAAGAACAAAGACAAACATAGACACGCACACAAACCTCACTGAGATCAGAGATGGTTTCAATGATGCTTACTGCCTTGTCAGTGGGTACATGATTGAAGCCTCTTAATGGATGGGTTTTAGTCATGCTCATACATTGACTGTCCTGCTTGAGTTACAGAAAGCATCTTCCTTGGTTAGATTGGTTAATTCTCAGCCACAGGTGAATGCCTTCTCATGTAGTACAGTGTTTACCTTTCTTTCCTGAGCCATTGGAAATTATATCTCTGCAAGTATGGACTGAGACATGTGTATTATTATTATTATTATTATTCCCTGGTGGTGCAGTGGTTAAATGCCTGTACTGCAGCCACTCACTCACAAATCACAAGATTGTGAGTTTCATACCAGCCAGGGGCTCAAGGTTGACTCGGCCTTGCATCCTTCCAAGGTCACTAAAATGAGTCCCTAACTTGTTGGGAGCAATTAGCTTACACATTGTAAACTGCTTAGAGAATGCGTAAGTGCACTGATGAGTGGTATAGAAATATATTTGCTATTGCTATATTATTATTATTATTATTATTATTATTATTATTATATTCCATTTTTTTCTCAAATTTGGGACACACAGCAATTAAAAACATACAAAAGAGCACATTAAAACAGCATTAAACCAGTACAACATTAAACCTTCATTTATTAAAAGAATAAAATGCAATCAAAAGATAAAAACACTTCAAAACAGTACATATTAAAACAGTTAAAATATTAAAACACATTGAACCAATAAAAATAAAACTATATGTATACCTTTAAAACTTCAAAAACCAACACCACGCAGCATTAAGAGACTGATGTGAACCCTTTGTGAAGGCCTGGCAGCACAAAAAAGTTTTAACTTGCAGCTGGAAAGACAGCAAGGATGGGGCCTCTCTGGGGAGGGAGTTGCAGAGCTTGGGACCAGCAACCAAGAAGGCCCTCTCCCTTGTTTCCACAAAACAAGAGTGAAAAGGTGGTGGAACAGAGAGAAGAGCCTCTCCTGATAATCTCAAAACTCCAATGGGTTCATGTAGGGAGATATGGTCTTTCAAATAACCTGGACCCAAGTTTAGGGCAGTATGTCAGCTGGATTGCACATTAGGGTAGTGTGTTCTCTGGATTGTATTGACAGGTTTGGTTTCACGGAAAGTGGTGATAGGATCATTTTCCCATTGGACTGATTAATTAGATATGATGAATTAGCCAAGAGAGCCACCATGACGCTGGGGGTTTAGCTAATGTTATAATGTGTGTAGTTTGCTAGGAAACTATTGTTTCTGTTCAACCCACTGCTAGTGGACTGCAGTTTGTTGATAAATTCTAATTCTGCTGTTTCTTTTTCCAATCTTCCTTTGTACTTTTTTTGTTCAAGGACCACTGTTCTGAGGTACAGGATGGAATGCCCAGGAAGATTGAAGTGTCCTGCAACCAATTTTTGTATATTCTTATTCCTAATATCTGAATCATGTTCACTTATCATCTGGCACAGGGACCAGCCTGTTTGCCCAATACAAATGCTGGTGTCACTGGTTTTGAACTATCTGAAGGATTTATTTGTGGGCTAATTCCAATCATCAGTGCTCTTAAATGTTTATGCTGACTCACTGTTCCCAGCTAAGACCTCCACCCACTGATTCCAAGTGGCTCATTGTAAAATTGTGTTTGCATGTGGAATTTCTACAGATTCTGTTATTGTCTGTGTTAAGCTGAAGTCCCGTAGGTATCCCAGAATAAAATACATAATCAGCTTTCTGTAAGTAGTTGCCTCTGTTAATAATAAACTGTTAGAAAAATCTAAGTTTACACATTTATATCTTTTATTACTCTTTTATGTTAATAACTAAGACTTCTTTCTTTCTCTGTCTGTCTATTGTTTTTCACTCCCTCAGCAACTTTGTAGCACAGATGGCTAAAATCCCTTGCAGGAAGCTAATCAGTTGCTGTGAATAAAATGTTCTGGAAAATAAATGAAAAATTGCTTGGAGTCGTGGGGGACTGCATGAACTATAGACATTAAGAAATGAGAATTATGATGTTCCATGTCAGCACAAGGAGTGTATGTATATGTGCCTTCAAGTCACCTGTCGACCTATGTTGCTCCCATTAATTTCATAGGGTTATCTTAGCAAGGAATCCTCAGAGATGGTTTTGCAAGTTCCTTCCTCTGATATGTAGCCTACAGCACCTGGTATTCATTGGCAACCCCCCATCCAAGAACTAATAACCATGGCTGACAGGATCTGGTGTCCAGTATGTGGGATTAAACATCATCACTACATCCCCATGGGGTATTCAAAGGGATCGTGCAACACATTTGTGACTAACTGAAAGATATAAGTTGGTAGTATGAGCTTTCATAGATATGAACCTGTTTCTTCAGATACATTTGGTGGAGTGGAAAGCCCAGAGATAGATCTATGTAGCAGCCTGTGTGAGAGAATGTCCATAGGAATACAAAACTTTATGGGTGTGGAGATGATGTGACAAGTTTAGTTTTAATTATGGTTGTTGGGGGACAAGGCAAAGATGTCACCTAAAGCCAAGGTTAGTAGATAACCATATGGACGAGTATTGGGATGTAGTGTGGGAGCCAAAAAGAAGATATGATGAATTAGCCAAGAGAGCCCCCATGATGCTAGGGGGGTTAGCTAATGTTATAATGTGTGTAGTTTGCCAGGAAACTATTGTCTCTGTTCAACCCACTGCTAGTGGACTGCAGTTTGTTGATAAATTCCAATTCTGCTGTTTCTTTTTCCAATCTTCCTTTGTACTCTTTTTGTTCAAGGACCACTGTTCTGAGGTCCAGGATGGAATGCCCAGGAAGATTGAAGTATCCTGTAACCAATTTTTGTAATTCTTATTCCTAATGTCTGAATCATGTTCACTTATCATCTAGCACAGGGACCAGCCTGTTTGCCCAATACAGAGTGCTGAAGGGCATTGCTGACATAATCTGACATAAATTACATTAGGGGATGAGCAAGTGAAAGTCCCTCTAATATTGTGATGATGTCATTAGGTCTTGTGATGACATTTCCTGAATAGATGTGTAAGCAGAGTTGGCATCTGGATTTTTGGCAAGGATTTGTACCATGTATGCATCTGCATTGTGTTATCTTCTTTAGGTAAGTACCTGTTTGAGGTTTGGATGCTGTCTGTAGGCAAGTAAAGGCCTGCCACTAAGAGACATTGAGAGGGCAGCATTATTGTCCAGAATAGCTTGTAATTCATTGATGATACATCCAAGTTGTCTCAGTTGGGGACTGTATGTCACCGTTAGTGGGGGTCTGTCAATTTCTGTCCTCCATCAGTTTTGGAATAGATTAGTCCTGGGTACAAGTCTTGTTTGTTTGTTTACTTCATGTAGTAGGTATAGTAGCTTGAGGGATTCTTATTGTAATTCTATGAGTTTGGTATCCTTGCCTTATGGGTCTGAGCAGATGCGATTGTATTGGAGAGTTTGGCTGTAGACTATGAATCTGATGGTCAGGAGGCATGTATGTGTAGCAGTCAGTGGATTTGCATTATAGTGTGGTGCTTAGATGTCCATTTGTAGGTGTGTGGTGGTGTCCAGAAAATGAAGTTCTGTTGATAGTTCCAGGCTGAGATTGATTGTAGGGTTGAAGCTGTTGAAACTCTGGTAGAACAACTTCCATACTTGCAGAAAAACTTCACCAAATGCACCTAAGAAAGTAGGCTCAAGTCTATGAAAACTCATGCTATCGACTTCTATCTTTCGGGTAGTCTCAAAGGTGCTGGAAGATCCCTTTGCATACTTATTTTCCAGATTAATACAGCCTTTGAATTCTTCCCTCAAGATTTGGGTGGGTAGACTGTTGACATCTGAATTAAGAGCAGCCAGTGGAGCCTTTATCACAGAGATAGCAAATCCACTCTGTTTTTAGCCATTCCCCTGTGGTAATTAGGATGGAAAAAAAGTTTATTGGGACCTAAACAGACTGCCGATAAATGCCGATATTGAGGCAGAGTGGGGGTGTGATGACTGTATGCTGTGTGCCCTGACTCTGCCCCAATGCCAGTGTCAAGCTACACCTTATGAGTAGTCTGTTTAGCCCCTTGAATAGATAATAATTTTCTGGGGACTTCCTGCCTCCCATGTGCATGTTTTGTGCACAATAAGTCTTGAACTCTTCAGATTCCAATGTAGTGAATCAGGAAAATGGGAATGGGGAAAATAAAAAAAATATTTATTTTTATCTGTGAGAATGAAATTTACAGAGATTTAGATCCATCAGCAATCCCTGGTGTTAACTTCCGACTATGGACAAGGAGGTGGACAATCTTTTTTTCCTTTTTTTTTTTAAACAAGAAAGTAGATTTGTCTCTCTCTCTAATTTTTTTTAAAAACAATACTTTTACTTTTGTGAATACTTTGTCTGACATGGGCTGCATCTGCACTGCTGAAATAATTCAGTTT